AAATGCTCTTAATTGTATATGCATGCTTGCTCGTCATGATTCTGATTTCGATCATTAGTTGCTATACTTAATTACCGTGACTTTGACCAATAAAAAAATATTTTCATGAAATTTCATTGATAATATTTATTAATATGAAGAGATAAAGAATGATATTTTGGACTCGATAACATCAGCATGTTTAAGTGTTTTAAAAGCACAACTCACAAGATCGATTGACCAATCAAAACAGTCAAAGAAATTATCCCATAGCATAATACTACAGATTTCATTCTGCGTAAAATGAAATTATTAGATATGAAAGTTGGATTTTTATCCCCTTTTTACTTTTCCATGAATGTTTTTATCCCGGCTTAGATAACGATTGCATTATTGATGAATCATGCTCATAAGAAAGTGCTGATCTAGATGTGTACATGGTATTGCTATACCTAAAGGTTTACAATTAATTTTACTGTTTAATTGACATGAACTTATTAGTTCGAAACAGGAATATTGAACTACATCCAGCTTGCCAAGCAGGCAGTGTCTCTCAGAAAAATAACTTGCCCTAAATGATGTTTGCTTGCTTTTTGATTAAATGTCATTTTGACAAAAACTCAAAATTCACCTAGATTTGGTTGAAAGGATTCTTATCGCAAAAAAGTACTGATAGGTATCACCAAATATTTATCCTTTTGAACTTAAAGTTTTAGATTGCATGCCCAGTTATTAAATGAAGCTTTTTTGGTAAAGGTATGTATTGAAGAAAAACTACTATTTTACTGAATTTAGACACATTGATTCATTGTACTCCTATAAATCCTCTTTCCTCTAACTTGAGATCCAGAACCTCAAAAGAAAGTGTGCTCACCATTACTGTAAATTCAGAAATTATTGTGTGCATTTATTATTGCGATTTTGTCATTTTAGACTAAAATGCGATTTTTATCATTGCGATATTGAGAAAATTCACATAAAAAATTTCAAAATGCGAGTTTAAATTATTGCGATTATAACCCTGTCGCATTTTTCGCAATAATAAAAACATCGCAATAATTTCTGAATTTACAGTATTTAGGTGGAGTCTCTCTCACTTTGTATTTATTATATAGCCATATAGTAAGTACATGTAGTTAGTTTGACTGTTTGGGCTTATGGCCGATCATTCGGCTCTTCAGACAGTAACTACCTTGAAACAAATGTGCTGATCATTCACTCGATAGACAATAACTACTTTTAAACAAACTATTTCATTCTATAGACAATAACTACATTGAAACAAATGTGCGACTAAAAGTGCAAGCATTTATATTAACCATGTGATTGTACGTGTTATTTTGTTTTGAACTTTTGAATATTGTAATTCAATGAAAAAATATGATCAAAAGAACACCTGTGATTAATAAAAGCATTAAATTCGTTAAAAGTATTAAAAGATGACAGTAGTTAATCGTGCAACGTGACATCCTGGTCACCTTTTGACCTTTTTATGAGAGTTTGAATCTAGACATAGATGGTTAATCAAGAGGTTCACCTTATTTCTGTCTAATGTACATATATACATATATTTATAAAATGTGAATTTCACGTAGTTCAGAAATCGGACTGCCTACAGTTTTTTTGTTGATCATGAATATGATAAAACTATTTGGGTTTTTGGACAATACTTTAGTCAGATAACATTTTCAATTACAGAATATTAAGTTAATATGTGTGGGAATAATTTTATTTTAATCATTTATAAGTTGAAATAATGATATTGAATATTAGATACATGTAATAGCAATGATCAAGGGCATTATTTTTCGTATCAGTCATAAAATACATTTGTAGTAATGCAGTGAAGTTTAAATTATACTTGTATTAAATGTAATTTGTGAAATAGATTTTTGTCAGCTTGTTTCCATGAGCAAAAATAATTTTTCGAACGATATCTTCTGCTGTCACAATGTAAAGAAGGGACTTTTAAATTTTTAAGTATTAAGTGTTTTCATTCACTTAAAATTAGATGTAAATGTTGCACATTTTGACAAAATCAAGCAGAAAATATGACTCCTTAGCATGATTTGCACATTAGAAAATAAGATTTTTCGCTACTAATGTTACACACTTAACATCATATTTGGTACTTTGTAATAACTTTGTAACTTCTACCATCTCAGTTGCCTCATATTCCCACAATTTTATACAAACTTAGATAGGAGAAATACAATGGTTTTGAATATTATTCATTTTCAAAAATTTATTACCACTTTAGTTTTATATTAAATAAAATCACTTTCTGCACGCATGAATACCAACGGCTTTCTTTTACAATATAAAAAAAAACCCAGCTATCATAACATTGCATTTTAAAGATTAAACTGTACTGTTGAGACATTTTATTTTCATTGGTATCAATTTTCGTGTTTAGAGAAAAGTCTTCAACTTCGAGGGTACTTTTAATTTTGGGTTTTCATCATTTACTGCTTTCCAAAGAACTTAAAAATCATGTCACATAGTGTATTGAATAATTAGCTTGTTGAGCCCTGTACTCTATGTTTCCTAGGCCTTAATGTGGTTGAATCAAGAATAGATTTTATCAATTTTTACCGTTGGTCTTTTTTGGTTGTAAATGTCAATGTAAATGTCAATATAAGTTGTCCTATTCTACTTTCTGGCATCAAATGGATAAACATTTCATTTTTGAATAATGGACTTGATATTAGTAGGCCACAGGGACCCTTTCTGCACCTACTTGATATTTTTGGTATATGTAGTGTGCATTTGTAACTGGTTTCGTATCTGAACCGACCTTGAATAATTGTCATAAAATTATTTGAAGTACGATCTTATACATTTGTAGTACAAATGTATGTACTTATTTTGACATAAAAAGCAAAGGGATTTTAATTCATTTATAAACTGTATCAAAAGGAATTTAGAATCTATGATGTCTGAAAGATTTATATTGACATAAAATAAGATTTCATGCAAGATTACTGTAAAAGTTGGATGAAATTGCCAAATTAAAAAAAAAGTTTGTTGTTGCATAAGCATAGTATATACAGAATTAAATAGGTTGGAAAATGGTCATGAACTATTAAAATATTATGGGAGTTTGATCATGATTGCATTACTTTTCAGCAGTGTGCTTAATTTCCATTTAAAATGCCTCCGAAAATACGTGGCTATATCTAGGCTAACACTCTAAACTAAACATGTCTTAGCCATTCTGTCACATCAGTACCGTCAGAGCAAATATTTTGGTCTGCAAGACTGTAATTTACAAAGTTGCAAAACCGACTGTCCCTAATGATAGTTGACAAAAAAATGTTTCCAAACAAAATTAATTCGTTGCATCTTCTGGTGACCCTCAGTAAATAATTAAACTTCGAATCCTTATGCCTTATGTGTTTTCTTAAAGATTACCAAATACTATTGTTTGATAAGGTATTTCCTTGTTATAATTGTTAGATAGGTGTTCATTAAATTATATTGATTAGATTACTGTTTTTTTTTTACTAAATTAGTACTTGTAGGTAATGAGCTGTTAATTATGGTGTGTTATTCCTTGTCCCAGATACTTACGTAGATGGTTTTTCGTCCATTGAACAACAAACCACAGATTGTAAAATACATATTTTTGTGTTTCCGTGTTGTAGATATATTCCTGAGCGAGTACTCGAGTATTGCACGATAAAACCAACGAGTACTCGATTAGTAATTGTTCACTAAGTTGACATCCCTACTTTAAAGCTGTAAATAGTCAGTCTTTTGATATAGTAAATGTAGCCCAGGGCTTCGTGATACAATAGCACTAAAACAAGCCTCTATATCATGGGCCAAGCTCTTAAATGGAATATAGATGTAGTCCATGGAATTCAATTTTTTTGTCGAAATTTTTACTACAGTGTAGTTGTACATTTATTTATCGTTTCAATGATTTCAACCTACACATTTGAAATTTCATGAAAATAGAGAAGCAAAAAAAAATCAATGTGTTCATGCTTAAAATTTGTAAATAGTCAGTTTATTGAAATAGTAAAATTAGACCATGGTTCTACAGTCCTCATCACTAGACATGTGTATATATCATATGACAAGCTCTCAAGTGGTCCCATGTCTTCAAAAATCTATAAAGACTGCAGCAAAAGAATTCTATATTTTTAAGTGGACAATTGGTCAAGCATAAGATGAACTCATTCTAGACACCAAAGATTTAGGCCCACTATTGATTTTGCAAAATTTGCTTGACCTCAAGAATTTTTTTCCTAAGTGACTGACATGTGTGTTAGATATGTTAATGCTGAGAGAACAAAATCAATAAGCAGGTCATTTGATATATAGAATGTCCTTGTTGTAATGACCAGTGATTTTGTAAAGAATGATGTCTAAGCACCTTTGTTCTTGCATTGGAATCTTAACAGATTTCTAAATCCCATTCAACCTACATAGATGACTTAAAAGACTTAAATGGTATTAGAGAATTATAACTTTAAAATGAAAGGTTAACTTCTTGTACTCTTCTTAAAATGACAAAGTAACTTAGTATGATTATGTTTAGGAAATCTGGTATTATCTCATATATTATTCATGATGTTGGTATTTAAAGTAGTCAGTACTGTCTTTCCAAAGTCTAAATGTTGGAAATCAAAAATTAGAAATGCAAATTTGAAACATCAGTTAGGAATATAGTTCTTTCTCTTATCTTTTCACATGATTTTTGCAGAGCTTTCTTTTTTGTTAATTTACTTAAGAAAGAAGTCAAATTGACAATTCTTTGGTAAGACTAAATGAAAAAAACCCACTTGAAACATTAAAGAATTATCTTACTCATATATGTTGCAAATAATTGCATCAATTTGAATTAAGTTTTAAATGCAGTAAAAAAAAGTGAAAGTAATTTTAGTTGCAAGAAAAGTTAATTTTGTTTAATTCTGCTTTTGAAATAAAATGCATTGGATGATAAAAAAAGAATGAAAAGCAGCTGAAAGAGAAAAATGAAAGTAGATAGTGAAAGTAAGATGTAAACAAACCTGCATCCTGGATTATAATTATGTGATGGCATGTTGTAATTATTGTATCCTTGCGAACGCAGATAGTTCAGTCTTGGATCTGGACGGGAGTTCCATATTGGCACTTGAGAGGTATTGTGTAAATCCCCATTCATTTGAGACGGCATCGTAGGGTTTATGGACGGACGGTACTTCCTACTTGGACGGAAGAGGGTGATAAATCCACCTAAATGTTGCGGTCTATCCTTTTCTCACTTCATTTAGTTAACTGTGAAAAAAGAGAATAGGTACTCTGGTTAATACAGATCAGTAGGATATTGTCACGGATGAGTGATTCTTTTCTAATCGCAACATCTTTTTAAATTTTGACGGGTGTAATTTTTCCCCTATGGCAAATGAAACGGGAGATTAGAAGCATCGCTTCAACAATTTTTAATACATTTTAAAAGATTTGTGTATTTATTGTTTAGATGGGATATTGTTATCGTCAATGTATATTATTCATTATATTTTTTTGTGAGAATGTTTTTATTTTTACAAAAGAGAACAATAAAAGGCATTTTTTTGTTGTTTAAAGTGATGGAGATTTGGTCTTTTGAAAGGAGGAAGATATAGTATTACTTTGTTGTTGTAGTTCTGTTTCCATGACGATGATGCATTATTGGGTAGATTTAATTGAACAAAAGAATTTAACAACAGATTATTTACTTTTATTTTGGTAGAAAACTTTGCCTGAGTTTTACAAAAAACATTTGATGAGAAAATTTGTTTATTTATCATTTGTATTGTTGTTGAATGAAACTGGTGTTTTGGTTTTATACTATGACGTAGATTGGTTGATTGTTACGTTTACCCCAGACACTATCACTTTTCAGCTGATTCATCCTGCTTACTTTGATTGATTTCAGATCCTCTGGTTGTATAGTGGTCTTCATATAAATTTAAAGACAATTTTGATTAGAGATATCTTAGGCTATTTAAAGTGGGAGGAGAGTTAAAGTTTTGCTTCAAATACCAGTATTAGTGTTACTTACATTCATAATGTTTCATGAGATTATGTGTATGATTTTGATAAGCTGTATATATATATATATATATATTCCTGCAGTAATTTAAACTATAAAAGGCATCTTTCAAAGTCTATCCAAATTACTTTTGCAAACAATTCCGCTCAAGCTGGTGCTAGGGGCCGGCCGTCTTAAACTTGCAGTGCGGTGAGAGTTTTTTTGCTCTGTGTTGAAGGACTCACTGTGACTTAATGATGAAGAACAGCAATAAAAGCACTGTTCCTTTGCTTGTTGTGTGTTTTTTGCTGTGCACATACTAATTTTGTGTCATGGATGGATACCCCATATCCTTTGTTTTTCTATTAAAGGATTAAACACATTTTTTCTAGAGGTAATTGATGTGTAAACCGGGGAGATTAACTCGCAAACTGAATAAAAGTCCAATACACATCAATAACCTCTAGAAAAAATGTGTTTAATCCTTATAATTCTTAAGCCAAATATTCACGATTTTTAATTAACATTTTTTGGTGTAAAGGCTACTATAATTACCATCAAATGCACAATTGGCGATCGTAACTAAGGTGTTGGCCGCCATATTGACTTTCTAAAATCCATAAATGTTCGATAAATGCAGCGGAATCTAAAATGAAATAGCACCTTCCTCCAAAAGTTCATTTTATTTAGATATTATCCGAATTGAAAGCGTACAAGTAACAAATAATCTTTCAAAAGTTTTCATTTGTATGAAGTCGTGTTTTGCCATAACGTAAGTTAGCCAAATCATTCATGAAATTTCGCGGAATTTTATTTAAATTTTAATTTTATACATTTTCAAAGCTTTAGTGCATTTATTTTATTCATTTCTTGTTATAAATACATTAGAATAGAAACAACTGTTATGCATTTGTTTTTTAATCTCAATTTGCTTAAATTCCCGGGATCCCTGCAAGCATGTGTATCGCGCATGAATAGATTACGAAAGTAGTTTTGGAAACATGGTTTATCAAAGTGTAAACCAACAGAAAAATTCTAATTGGCCAATCCAATTCAAGTATTTGTAGATATGCAAATCATATAAGAATTATTTTCTTGTAAACCAATTTTCGAAAAATTTAGAATAGAATAACAGCTTATGTAAGGATCCTCTGCTTCCTTAAACTTTTGGTTTTGAGAGTATCTAATGAAGTTACCCGAATAATTCAGTCCCTCCCCGTGATCGCCTCTCCCACTCGCGAGGGCCTGAATTCTTTATACAATAAAAACACGTCACGAATCCAGGATTTTCATTGGTGCTCTCTGTGAGAGAGAGCCAATCAGCTAATAGCTCAATGTTATCGAGATTGGTAAATCCCGAGCTAATTCCGAATGATTATTTGACGATTTTTTATTGACAAGGCCTTCAGGCGTTAATGTAGCCATCGTAGAGCAGTGGAATAAAACGACTGAATTATTCGGGTTACTGATGAAGGTAATATTTCAAAAATGTATGTTGTGCACCCTGAATTCTGTATTAAATGTTTATATATTGTTAATATTGTCTATGTTATATGGCATCAGTTAGTATGCAAATGATTACATAATATTTACTCGAAAGAAGAGACAGAAGATACTATAATAACAATAAAACATCATAAGTCGTAAAAAAACGAAGATACATGGAAAAAACAAACAGCTGCCTATAAAACACTACATTTAAAACTAAAGACTGAGAAAAAAAACATGAGCCGATCAAAAACCAATGGCAATGTCAGTTGTTCTGGAAGGCTGCTTGTGGCACCTAAAGCTGTTTTAAAACACCCAACTGATTAAGTCCATCAGTTTTTGCCTTGCCTGTAAGGAATGCCTTAAAGCAAGACATAGATGTTACAGATTGCTTTGCATTTTCGTTGATTTAGAGGGTTAAGGTGAAACAACGAAGTTCAAATTTACTATAGGCTTGCGTGCACACTTTGGTGAACCCACGAAATCAAATTTCCAAGAAAATACAATTTTTCCACAATCCACACAAATTGGTACCAAAGAAAATAACTGAATCCACAGTAACTGTTCTTGACAAAAATTGTCTTTTTATTTTATCTTTAACTTGTGTTAAACTTTGTTTTTCTCACTTGAGAAGTTCCATGTGTAAAAATTTAAGAAAAAGAAAAAAAAATTCAAGATCTCATTTGGAACTTTTTAATGCATATTTTTTATTGTGAAGTACATTTTCTATTATTAATAAATTTCTGGAAAATTTTGCCTTATGTTTATATACTTACCTTGTGGCGTCCTGTAAAGTCTTTGAAACTTTTTGTTGCTATCTACAGCTATTTAAAACCCTTTTGATACCAATTTCGCAGAAGTGGACAGAAGATAAAAATAGAAGTAACACATCCTGTTTTCTATGATATGAACCCTATTAAACGTTATTTGGTAATGAAAATTAACTACTTTTCATAGATATTAAATTTTTCTCAATTACGAAAGTTTAAAAGTCAAGCTTACAATGCAAATGAACTTTTATAAGCTATTAAAAGTGGTATAGATATGTATATCTATAAACCAATTAGTTACAGCAGTTAGTATACTTATCATGTGATGTTTATGCATTTTTATAGTTATTTTATAAGGTTGAATAGCCTCACTTGGGGGGCTTTTCTGCATCTCATGGGGCTATTTAACTATCTCTCATATTTCATGCATCTTTTAGTATGAAGTGTTAAATTTTTTTTGAAATACATCCAAATAAAACAAGCTTAGTATTTCCTTATTCCAGAGGCAAAATGCATACGATGGCTTAAGAAAATCATTTTTTATCAATTTGAGACTTACGGACAAACAAGGTGTTAAATAGATATGTTGATTTAAAGTGACACCATGTATTTTAATTATGATAAGATTATTTATTGAGTTGCACCTGATAATGCAATGAAAGTACATTGAATTTAAAAATTAAACAAATGTGTCAAATTTGTAATCGATAAAGGCATGCTATCTTGTGGAAAGGTTTTGAAAATGTCACAGTTTGAAAAGTTTACTGCATAAATCAAACATTTTGTACGTAAATGGGTTTAGTTTGAATTTGAATTTTCAACAGTTGAAATTCTTTTGTAACTTTAATGATAAGTTTGTTTGGTCTTGTGCAGTTCCAAGAAGAAACACTGCCTCCTTTTCAGGTTTTGAAACTATACCATTTGGCAAATAACAATCATAAAAATCCAAAGTTTGTAAAAAAGAAGAAAAAGTTTTTTAAAGTACTTGAAAATTTTTGACTATGAAATTATTTTGTTAAAAGACAAGTGTCAGAGAAGTCTTCTTAATTCAGTAAAGTTGATTTCAACAACATATTGCTGAATTTTTCAAAAATAAAATTTTGAATATCTTTTATGGTAAAACTTACAAAGGTAAACTTTGAGTTCATTCAAACTCATCACAATAAACAATTAAAGCCTCTGAAATAAATTTTCTGATAATTTGATAGAAAACATGGCAATTAAAATTTTTCAGCTTGACTTGATATAAATCAAATTCAATTGAATTTAAATTTACATGATGTAATGTGTCCTAAGGCGTAGGTCAATATTATGATATCAGCCCAGTGTACAATACAGAAATAAATATAGTCCCATGTAGGGTCAAAAAGTGTTGTGATGATTGGTATGATTATAAACAAATAATTAAGAATAATTAATCCTTTGATCCTATTGAAATCAGATATACCAATTTTCTAATGCTGTTTAAAAAAGTGGTCCATTTTAATAATTGATGGGAAAAGATATAGTGTTAAAGTTCATTTTGGACTAGGACATGGGAAAGTTGATTCAAATTAAGTTTATTGCAAAAAATGCAAATTTGTACAAATATTTAGTGGAGTACAACCACATTAATGCTAAAATATTAGGAAAACAAAAAATAGACCAAAGTCTTTTACACTAGGATGATGTATACATTTTACATAACATCCAATTTTCTGCCTTTTTAATGAAGATATATATCAAAGTTATGGGTGTTTCAAATAATTAAACTTGATATTCTGTAAACTTTTAAATTTCTTAAAGTAAATTATTCAGGTTTGATATGCATTTTCTGAAAATTGACTTATGTTGTATCTGAATGTAACACACAGATGGTATTTTAGTCCATATTCATCAGAGAACTACTTCTACTAGGAAAACTTCCAAAGGCATGTTTTCCAAATAGTCTGATTCTGATCTCAAAAGTTCTTTGTGATACTTTAACTGTGTGAGTGTGTATGTTTAGCAATGAAATTGCACATAAAATTTAAATTCCTTTAGCCTGATCAAATACAAGAGCACCATAATTAAAATGTGCACTACTCTCTGTCTTAAGGTGAACATGCAGGGTAAAGCTAACCTCTGGTGATATAATGTCTATGTGCAAATTGCTGCATTTTCACAATAAGATGAAGATATAGTGTGTTTTAGTATTTTTTACATCAGTTGGTTCATTATTTGTTGCGATCAATCTGTAATTTGATTGCTGTAAATTTCATACATCCAGAAGTGTTGCTGAGTATGTTCTTGTTACTAATTTGTATTATAGAAGATTTGTGATATGAAATTTGTTTTATGAGGCATCATTCTTTTTTTCCTCTATTACACGCCTGTTTACGGGACGTATTATGGTATACCGTTGTCTGTCCGTCCGTCATCAACATGTCATACACTAACTCAAAAATGCTTCAACCAATTTGCATGCAACTTTGGTGAATTGTTTATATTTATTGACGTGAGCTCCCTTTTGATTTTTATAAATGTTAGATTTGAAGTTTCCGAAATAAGGGGTTTTATTCATTAAAAAAAATGGATTTTCCAGTTTTCGGACAATAACTCAAAAATTCTTTGAGTGGTTTTTGTGAAACTTTGGTGAATTGTTTATATCTATTGATGTAAGCTCCCTTTCGATTTTTATAAATTTAGGTTTTACGTTTCCGAGTTATGGGATTTTATTCATAAAAAAGGGGGGATTTTCAAGTTTGCGGACAATAACTCAAAAGTGCTTTGAACAGCTTTCATTAAACTTTGGTGGCTGTTTTATAGATATAAGAATATGTGGTATGAGTGCCAATGAGACAACTCTCCATCCAAGTCAAAATTTATAAAAGTAAACCATTATAGGTCAAAGTACGGTCTTCAACACGGAGGCTTGGCTCACATCAATCAGTAAGCTATAAAGGGCCCCAAAAATTACTAGTGTAAAACCATTCAAATGGGAAAACCAACAGTCTAATCTATATACAAAACAAGAAACACTTATGAACCACATCAACAAACGACAACTACTGAACATTAGATTCCTGACTTAGGACAGGTGCAAACAATTGCAGCAGGTTTGAATGTTTTAATGGTACCAAACCTTCACCCTTATATCTATTAAAATAACCTCCCTTTAGTTTTTTTTATAAATTTCTGATATGACATTGAGGAGTTATGAAACTTTATTTTTTGAAAAAAGCAAAGGCGTATCATGGCGTAGCTCTTCATTTATTTAAGTTTTAGGGCAATATTTTTCCTTTGATGGAAGATGTATATCAATTCTTTATATTTTAGCACTCAAATATTCTCTTCTCTTTTTTTCCCATTATTCTCTATTCTTTATTTTTTCAACAATTGTTCTCTATTTTGTAATCCCCATCTGCACCCTCTTTTATTGACATTATATTTTGCTTATTTACATTTACAGTACAAGATACTGGTGTATTCAGTTGATGGCAGATGTATATCAAAGTACAGTGCCTATGAGAATGCTCTTGGTGTGAAAAGTATAGCCTGGTCTCCTACTAGCCAGTTCTTAGCCATAGGGAGCTATGATGAAAAGGTAAATAAGATGGTGTCCTTTCTAGCCAATTCTAAGCCATATTGAGCTATGATGAAAAGGTAAATAAGCTGGTATTCTTACTAGCCAATTCTAAGCAATATTGAGCTATGATGAAAAGGTAAATAAGCTGGTATCCTGACTAGCCAATTCTAAGCCATATTGAGCTGTGATGAAAAGGTAAATAAGCTGGTATCCTTACTAGCCAAGTCTAAGCCACCAGAGAGTTAGATGGTTTTTCTAATACAACTTGCTTTTGACTTGTATAACTAAATATATTTTAACTAATGTGTTTTGAAGTAAAAATTGAAACTTTTTTCTTTATTTTACCCAAGGATTTGTATAGTGTATACAAATCCTTGTTTTACCTTTGACCCCCCTCCCCCCAAAAAGAAAAGAACAACTTACAAAAACACAAAAAACAAACAAAAATGAAACAAAAGAACATATTGTAAACCCTAACCCCAAAAGCATCTTTGTATCTTGAGTGTGTATTAACAAAAAATCCCATTTCTTTGTATTTCAGTTTCATATCTGATGAAAAAATGACCTCTATGTGGATGTACTTAAAAGGAAGTACTTTGATAGAGCAATTAAATTACTTTAAATTAAATGTTCAATGACTGTTAAAATTGTTGAGTATTACCATGGCTTATTGAAATGCCCTAAAGTAGTTAAGAAGATTCATTGTAACAATTGATCAGTCAATATGGTCTTACAATTATAGTGTCTAATCGTTAGTAAAGTCAGGCTGTTTATAGATAAATAGTCTCACTTCGTTTCTCACAAATAAATGATAAAAATTTAATGTTTAAAATGATTAAATCAGTAAAGATGAAAGATATAGGTGATAAAACTTAAGATAAATAGTGGTCAAGAAATAAGGTGACCAAGTTAGATAGATTTCCTGAAATCCATGTTTATTTGTGTTATATTTGGTTGCGATAGTTTTGTTTGTTCAATGATTATTATTGCAGTGTGACCCACCAGAGGTGATACTGGTAATTTGGAAAGATGTAAAGTAATCTGATGAAAATCTATTCAGATATCTTTTGGTCTCTTTCATAGTCTTTAAAATGTTTGAAATAACATAAATTGCCACCTAGGTGTTAAGATTGAATCTGACAGATTCCTATATTCACCTGCTTAAATATTTTGAATACGAATTTAAAAATTGATGGGCGTATTTTGTTTGACACCTAGATAGAATAGCCTGGACATTTGATTTTATATATGTATTGTTTGGTAGATTACAAAAAGATTTTGAGTTGACATGGTTCAGATAACGGTAGAAAGAAGCATCATGGCGTTATTTTGACAAGGTGTCCCCAGGATTGTATGAATAATAAGTAACTCCAGGATCAAGTTCTGTGTTAATGACCTGAATGAATTAATAAAGGGATAAAATTTTACTGTTTTGCTATCATTAAATTTATATTAAATTTTTTCAAAAGAGACATTGAGTCTCTGTTTGTCCTAATGTTCTTAACACACTGAGCCTTTTTGTCATGTATCCAGGAGTCATTTTGACCCTGTCAATAATTGTTGTTGGTGGTTCGGTTTGTTATTTGATCCAGTTTATTGGTACAGTATTGTAATAAGAATGATATTTCTTAAGAAAAATGGTAATGTCTATCAATTAATCCTGCATGTAACTGTCACCAAAGACAATAAGATTAGATATATAACATTCCCCTAGACATAGTTAAGTCTTTACAGGAGGTTGATATCTGAATCTGAGGATGCAAATTTCTATAAATGCTGGTATATGAATATATGAGTTCTAAAATGACACTGGAATTCCTTCTTAAATGGTCTTTTAATTTACATTTGACATCTTAATAATGAGAAACTTGTCTGGCTTTATCAAAATAGGCCTTGATCTAGTCTGACTGTATAGGTTGCAAAATACAATGCTCTTCCTCATAGATGACACAAGTAGTATTTTAAGAGATGCAGACTTTTGAAAGTTAAATATCAGAAACCTGATGAGAAATAAAGAAAATGTATTGCAATAATATTTTAGTCTTAAAATTATGGGAACTCCTTGCTTTTCTTTACACAAGTCTTAGTTATCTCCCTTGCCTATCAATTCTGCACTCACAAATACATGTCTCATCACAATTTAGGTAAGATTTCTTTGAAATCATTTCGGACAAAAATACATATATTAGTTTGATGTCAGTATATGAAAAAGTCCACTAGGTGTCTTGTAATAAATAAATAATATGTTTTCTGGTTCCCATGTTACTCAATGGTTTATTGTAACCTATAGACAGTAGTAAATTTGTGTTTCTGGTTCCCATGTTACTCAATGGTTTATTGTAACCTATAGACAGTAGTAAATTTGTGTTTCTGGTTCCCTGTCAGTCAAGCAAAGAAAGGTATCAACTTGAAGACTGTTTATCAGACAGACATTTTTGCACCTTTCCCAAGTCAGGAACCTCTGGCCTTTGTTAGTCTTGCATGTTTTTTTTTTATTTTGGTTCATTTATATGTTTCCATTCTCAATTTTATTGGACATGCAGGAAAGCATTTATTTTAAATGAATGAAGACCAGTTTTTTTTATCCATTTGACAAATGCTCACTGGCCCAAAATTGCTATTATTTTGTTTATCTAACAAACATTTTTTAATTCCTATTATTTTGTTTATCTAACAAACATTTTATAGGCATCATCAGTATGTTGGCAGAGGAGATGCAAAGTTTGCTATAATTATTCCATTTTCATATGCCTTTACTGAATTTCACTTTTCCTTCATCTTGTCATTTTAAAGACCTTTTTGTTTTGTTTTAGAGGAATACTTAGTCATTTTTGAGGTTTTTATTGTAAGTTAGAAGGGGTCATGCTTATTTTTTTTAAGGTCATGTGGTGATCTTTGGAATTCCTTGCCTTGTTTAGTGAACCATGTGGCGACCTCTTAATAGGGGTGAACACTAATTTTTGGAGACCTTGTGCTGACCTCTAACGGTTCATTTTTATATTCTTCTTGTAGCTAGGTGATTTGCTCGATGACCACATCATGACTTCATGTTGAATTCTTAAAAACAATTTAACATTACATTTAAGAAAAAATGAATAGTAAATAAACTTACCATGCAAAGGTAGAAAATCACCTTATTTTTACAGGTGCAAAGTAACGACATCACATCCAGGTATAACTTTTATCACATCTTCATATAAGTGGCAAGGAAATCAGCAGAAATTGACAGGCCAACCTTAAACTTTGTTGATACTGATAATTGTTACCGTTATATTTGTAATTTTGGTCAAGTAGATTTTATCTTTGATGACTCTGGACTGTGATCTGTAGGAATAGATAAATTAAGATGCTTCAAATCGGGTAATTTGTAATTCATATTTTGTAAGTGCACTAGTACAAAATTTTATAGAGAGAAACAGTTGGAAGCAAACATGAGTGATGAATTGGTTGATAGTGTTAAAATTAAGATAGCTCTGCATGAAATGACTGCGCATATACTGCACTTACATAGAACCTCATTATGATTTAATGATTATTCATTCCAAAAAGAGTCATAGGCCTGAATGATCTTTTACTATCAATTAAAACTAAAATGAAAGCAAACAGCAAACTAATTTATTGCTTATAAAAAAAAACTGAGGACAGTTGTGGTTTTCCACAAATGGAAGATCTAACAAATGTGTAAAAATAAACTAACACTGACGGTTTCATTGGCTGAAATTTCACAAACAGCAAGTTTCTTGATAAAATATTAAATCCTTAAATTAGGAGGAGACTGATACATTGTGATACTAAAACTGATTTCAAGTTTAAATAGCGGTAAATGTCCGATTTTAATACATGTATGACATTTAGTTAACATAAAAATGAGGGTGCAATGAAGTCTGCGGTTTTATTTAAAGTGCCTTTTAATATTAAACAATTATTTTTGCATCTCATTCCGAGAATCATAAATACAAACAAGTACATGATAAAGTACAACAAGGTTATAAAAGTGATATCAACATATACATTGATAACGCTAACTGTTTTGATAGATAAAAGGACTGTGGGAAAAATTATGTTTATGTTAAAATGGTCTAAACTTTATCACTGGAAAGTCCTCACTATCTAACTATATAAAAATAAAACCATATGGTATGATTGCCAATGAGACAACTCTCCACCAGAGACCAAATGACATAGATGTTTACAACTACACGTCACTGTGCAGCTTTCAACAATGAACAAAATCTGTATGGCATTGTATGCTATAAAGGCCTTGAAATGACAAACAAAACATCAAAACAAGAAAACTAACGGCCTGATTTATGTACAAAGCAATAAAAGAAAAACAAATAGGATATATAGCAACCAACAACAACCACTGAATTACAGGCTCCTGACTGGGGACAGGAACATATAGAATGTGGCGGGGTTAAACATGATTGCCGGGGCCAAACCCTCCCCCCAACCCCTAAAAAGTTAACATATTTATGTTTAGGTGAATTCTATTCAAAAGCTTTTAAAATTGAACTTAAAGAGAGTAGTTTCTAATTTTCTAATAATCTGGTCTTAGGGACAAAATTGTTAGTCTTTCTAATTTTTTGCATCGGTTCCCATTTGACCTACTGTTGTATAGTCCTTTCATCAGTCCCCTTCTGGCCTTCTGTTATCTGGTCTATTCAATATGGTTTTTATCAGTCCCCATTTGACCTTCAGTTGTATGGTCCTTTGATTGGTCCCCATCTGACCTTCTGTTATATGGACCTTTCATCAGTCCCCATCTGACCTTCTGTGATATGGTCCTTTCATCAGTCCCCATCTGACCTTCTGTTATATGGACCTTTCATCAGTCCCCATCTGACCTTCTGTTATATGGTCCTTTCATCTGTCCCCATCAGACTTCTGTTATATGTTCCTTTCATCAGTCCCAATCTGACCTTCTTTTGTATGGTCCTTTCATCAGTCCCCATCTGACCTTCTGTTATATGGTCCTTTCATCAGTCCCCATCTGACCTTCTGTTATATGGTCCTTT